ATATATATATATATATATATATATATATTAATCTCTTTACATTTATATTTCTTGCTTTTTGTTTTCTGTGCAATTTCTCAGAACATCACATGTCCACCATTGGCAGTCTGATCACTGCACAATGTAATTTGGTCCAACTCACTTAGACAAGTCTATGAAAAAAACTAAACTTGCCTTTTCTGGGTGAGTGCGAGGCAGATCTGTGCCAGCTGTCTTTGGGTATGGATGCTGTCAGGACGTCTGTGCATGAGAGTCCAGACCATTAGCCTTGGCCTGGGAGAGGGAATCTAGGGTGGCAATGCTGAAACAATGCAGTCTGGGTAATAAACTCCTCTGCCTCCTGCCAGTCACCCCTTTAATCTGGAAAAAGGGACACGTGACTACTGTGCAAAATACGGAAAAAGACAAATCCCCCAAATATGGCTACCGTTTTTAATCTCCTTAACTTTCTGACAGCTTGTTTTCCAGGCTGCAAACTTCTGTTTTCACCCTCTGTGAATATACAGTGTTCTTACTGAAGAGAGTAAAATGGGTCTGGCATAAATTGAGTAAAACTCCAGTGCTTTCAACCAAATTCACCAAAAGCAACTAAAAAGCAGCATTATATCGCATTTTTAAGGATTTTCCAAATGAGAATAAGGAAAAGTCTGCTTCATGACATGCTGTGTAAGATACATCTATGGTGATTCTGCTTGCAGAGCAACAACGGGTGAACTCGAGATGTTTACCTTTTCACCTATAGATGGCAGTATTCGGTTGTATATTTGGTGACAGTTGTCAGAAATACTCCATGTCTATCACCAGTATAGGTAAAGTTTCTCATGCAACGCTTTGAGTACAGCTCAGGGCAGTTGGAGCAGAAAACGGTTTCTTGTATCACTCAGAACTTTAGAAAGTATATTTAACTGCTGCTATAAGGAAATAAAGCACAGTCATAGTCTTCTTATTTTTTTCCTGAAAGTGATGCTTGTATTTTTTTTCATTACCTCTATCATTATTAATCTATGATTTGTCATTGTGCATGTTGAACAGGCAGGTCACATAGTTTTAACTCTGCTGTCTGGTTTGTCAACAGGCATGAGAAAGTGCACATATTGGGGGAAAAAACAAACTACACTCACTTTCTGAGAAATGAAATGATACTGACCTGGTACATTTCACTGCACTTCTGTGGCACAAATTACTGTGCAAAGTACTGAAAATGACATACTTCCTCGCAAGCAATACATCTTAATTTTCCTCCAGGAAGTGAGCTCCCTTTGAGTGTTCCCGGTCGACATAATTGGTCAAACTGATATAAATCAGATCTTTGATGCTTAATTGAGCTCTGTTGAGACTTACAATCAGCTATTTCATAGATTCCTGTTGCTGACACAGTTGGTCTTTCCTCCTGTGTCTTACCCTTTAAAAATGGAAGAGCTGAATAGCACATTAGAATAAAGAGATAAATATATATAATAGATATAATCATGAGAAATTCAATGTGGAAAATGGAATTTTAATTCTCAATCCTTGAGCAATTTCTCCTTCTCTGCATTTAAAGTAACTTCTACCAGCCTGTATTTAGAAAATTTACAATAAAACAATCTGTAGCCATTTTGCATCAAACAAATATAATCACATTTATTTTGAAAGTATAAAATTTCACACTATAAAGGCCACTTTTCAGGGAAAATCGACAACCTTTCTGTAAGATTTACACAGAAAAATACCATGTCCCTCTCTGCTGGGCTAACATACTGTCCAGTTCTGTGGCAAAATAAAAGAATTGTTCTACTCCACCACAGAAAGTAGTTGGCAAGATCTGAATAATTTACTCGATACAGGAAAACGGCAGGAGAGTGAGAATTCCGGATTTGTACATCCCACAGAGCAGGTTTTCTGAACGGTTCTCTCTCTTTATCAAACCGGCTTACAGGCACAGCTCGACATTACAGGCACTGTTTGCCTTCTACTGGGAGACTCGAAAAAGAAATCTGCAGTTGACATTCTTTACAATGGCACCAGTCAGTCCACGACAGCATCCCCATGGAGAGAGAATCCTCCGTTTGTACAAACAGAAGGACTCGTTCTGCAGACCTCCCTGTCAGAGGCCGTTTGGCTCACTGCAGACGGGGTGTCCAGACTCTGAGTGTAGCGTTCACATTCCTACTCACCAACTGTGACGTGGTGCCCACTGAGGTAGAACAGTTGTACCAAAAGTCTTATTTATAAAGTATACAAATAAGTAACAGTCACATCAATAAACCTAAAGAGTGGGGTGGGGGGGGGAATAACATCACATTTCACCCACATTTTCAGCACAACAATATGTAGACCGCTGACATATCTGGATATCTGAAAAAAAAATCCCTTCCAACACAAACTACTGCTGCAGTTCTTTCCCTTTCAGGCAGAATGGCGGTTTCACAGATACTAAAATTGTATTATTGCATCTACAAGCCAGTGGGAACAGTTCAGCTGTGAAATGACTAGCTCCGGTGATCTCGGCATGTGAAATCTATCCTTCTCACTCTCGCACGCGCTATTCAAGAGTGCAAACAAAAAAAACAAAGATAAGTCAACAAGCGGGAACTAAAGCGGACACTTGTCATGTCAGAGAGGGCGCATTCCCATACAGAGAGTACGACATGTTCATCAACACTCCTTCCACATTAAAGTGGTATATGTCACGTCCCTTTTGAAGGCTCCTGTCTCTCCTGAAGGCTGGAATGGGCTAAGCGAGCCGACTGGCTCCCGGCAGGGTGGGCAAGGCTAGGCTGGGCCGTGCGGCGCTTACAGCTGGACACCCGGCCGTCTGTGTGGACTAGGACCAGCTGCTGTCTGTCAAACCCCCGGTTCCCTTACGGATGATGATGCTTTCTGTCGACTTGAGGAGCCTCTCTAGACAGGGTGCGTTGATTTTGCCCGGTGGAGGGCCTCTGGGCACCAAGACTGTCTTAGTGTGGCTGTCTGTGCTAGAGGACACAGCGTTATCCTGCGTTAGGTCTCTGGGGGACAGCAGGTGCCTGGAGCCAGCCTGGGCCTGTTCTGCTATGGGGGAGCAGATGGGTGTCGTGTGGAGCCACTTCAGGTTACTGGCGGAGTAGGCTGCAGGAGGAGTGAGGTCAGTGGCTCGCAGGGTTTTGACGCCTGCTGGAGGATCACTGACACTGACGGGGCTCATGACTGCAGTGATGGTCACTGGAGATAGCTGTTGGGAATGAAGGAAACTGTTTAATTTCAATTATTTAGTAGTTTATTATTGAGGGACAATGTCCATTAATTTACAAGAAAACTGCAAATGAGCCAGAGTTCACTTAGTATACCTAAATGTGTCCCTACCAAATATCAAAGGCACCTGAAAAATAAAAAGAATAACATATAATATAACTTGTAACTCTGTTAAAGCCACTGTGAGAAGGGTTTAAAAATTCCCAACTTTGGCAGCCCCAGTGGTAGTATCTGACCCAGGGCCATTAAGACGATCTGCTGTTTGGTGCTGGGCAGGAAGTGCACACTGGGTTTATCAGCGCTTTATCACTGGAAACAGATACCTGCTGTGGCTGAAACAGCACTGATGTGACCAATGGGAATGAACCAAAACAGTAAAGTTGAGGGACATAGCACACAAACAATGAGCTGAAAGAAGCTAAAACGCTAAGAACTGCAGAATCGGGTGATAATACTTTGTCGAGTATTCTGACCATTCTTATGCCCTTAGGCACACAACTCCAAAATTACCTTTTCTCCTCTGTCATTGTTCTTAGTAAATCTGAGACTGCTGTAATACCTCAGTTTAAATAGCTTTTAATCCCCCCCAGACATGTGATTAAATAACAATAGATATTTTAGTCCCTCTGTCACTGCATCGTCACTGTATGTTCTTAGCAGCAGGTCTTCTCTAACCGAAGAGCTCCTACACAACACTTCTGCTTTTGTACAACTTTACCTTCGGTTTCTTGGTGGGAACAGTTTCTTCTGTCTGGGTGACGGTGAGTTGGTCTCTGAGTTTTACATTAGGGAACCAGCTCTTCAACATCTCCTCCATTTTAAGAATGATATTAACATATTTCTCCCTGGGAAAAAAATGAAGATAAAAAAAGAAGGAAGAAGTGAGAGAGAGTGAGAAATATTTACTTTAGCTTTCGTCTATACATCTGAGTAAGCTACCAATAGTCTTACCAGCAAGGCAATCACTTACACTCATGTAGAAAAGCCTGTATTCTGTGTGTGTGTGTGTGTGTGTGTGTGTGTGTGTGTGTGTGTGTGTGTCAGTGGGGGGGAGGGAGTCTTGAGTACATTTCTCACATGTTTAGAGCTCACACGTGGCCTGATGTATAATAGCTCCGCTCGCCTCTAAATATAAAACACCAAAGCCACAACGGTCTCCAACAGCGTCACTGTGAAAAAATAAACTAATTGTGATGACGCAGTTTGTGTTGGAGGTGCGCAGCAGAACGCTGCACACCATTAACTACCACCCGTCAGAACCAGATGGTGGATAGGGATTAGCCCGTGTCATATGATCAGGACCTTCCTGCTATACTCCATTCAGGGCATGTTAAATTCATGTGAAAGATTATCCGCAATAGTGACTGCTAAAAAAGTCACTTTGATCCTATCTACTATTGTGTTGCTGCAGGGGCTGCCAGCTGGCAACACAGAGCAGGCACAGAGAGCGATGCAGGGTTAGTCCACCTTCCAGCCTCTGTCCCGGCTGTCTGGACGGAGGCTGCCACACCCACTCTTTGTCTCCCATATGAGGGCAGCAGCTGGTGGGTGAGGGCTTCAATTAGTCTGTGCCAGACTCAGCAGCACTTTATTTTATATCAGTATACCTTAATGCTTGGCTTCCCATACAGGTACCAGTAGTACTGCTTTAAATGCAGAGGAAGATGGTACATGAAGCGGCTATTTCATCTATAGACTTTCAGTGTAATCATATTGTGTTGATGTGATCATAATGTGCTATTATGCTATAACATTTTGTTCAATTAAAATGATCGTTAGGTTACTCAATCAACAGAAAAATGCTTGACAAGAATTTGGATAATAGCTAATCACGGATTACAGCTTCTCAGATGTAATTGTCTTTTATACCATTGTAAATTAAATGACTGTCGGTCGAACAAAGCAAGCAGTTTAAAGACGTCACATTGGACTTTTCACTACCGTCTGACATTTATTAGACTAAACTAATGAATTCCGAGGGATTAATCAACAGAAAATATAATAATTTGTTGCAGCCCTAGTAAAAAAAATAATGATTTGAAGGAAATTGAAATAATGAAATAGCTAAATTTGTTATGGAAGGTTCTGCTTTACAAGTCAGAATATGTCATTATAGATATTGTGATATTGATTCAACCATATTATCTTATACTCAAGTATACAATATCAGATGCTTAAGAGCCTGAGAATGGCAAATATTTGCTATTTCATGATGTATAACAATTCTAAAGCATCAAAACATTTAAACATTATTGTATCACAGGGACTAAGACTTTCTCCTTTGAAGAGGTGATGTTATATATGCCATTATACCGTCTGGCCAGCGGAGAGCTAATCAAGCAGACACAAGTGTGCTGCTCCCACAGTAGAGCCTGATACATTTTTAACAAGATGCCCAGCTATAGCGAGACACGGCCATCTCTGCAGTAAATTTATCCTGCATGTGTGGGGGTGGTGGCTCCTCGCAGGGCAACCTGCTGTGCACCATGTGTTACAGACATGCTGTCAACCCCTTTGACCCACAGACAACCAGCAGCATTTCTAGCTAATATAACTGAATATTGGGTTGAGTGTAATGTAGTTGTGATTGTGATCAAATGTCCGTAACAGGCATCACAGTGTGCCACAATGTGTTTGTAGCTAAACATGCAGGAGATACATTGAATATTCTAAGATGATAGAGTTCATTGTTTCATGTATAACAGCAGGTGGGCCATGCTGAGGACACTTACCCCATGCACGGGTTCTGCAGGACACCCATGATCCTCTGGATCCTGTCCATGGCCACACTCTCCTGGAAACTGCTGAGTCCTGGAAAAGAAGAAAGTCGTACCATGAGCCACATGAACTGTGTCGACAGCAGGGCTGAGTCTGTGGAGCAGACGGATTGTGTGAAATGCTTGTGTGGAGGAACAGACTCCCTGCCTCTGTGGCCTGGAAGTGTTGGGTCACATAAGGTTTGACAAAGATCCCAAATGAAGCAGTTTTCAGAGCTTGTCTGAACATGGCGCCATCTTCCAGCAGCTGCTTTACTGGAGACTCTGTGGTACAGTATGTTCTCACTCCCCTCTGCCAAGCAGCTAATTTATAACAAGGTCTGAAGCGTGATATTGCTCTAAACTGGCAAAAAATAAAATTGTATCCGTTTTTTAACTCTTACAAAAGGGACATTTTAAAACAGTGTAGTTACTAAGCAGCTTTATCCAAGAAGATATACACACACACACACACACACACACACACACACACACACACACACACA